ATGGTTTGGACTGTTTTTATTCCTTAGCCAAGAAAATGATTTTCTCTAGTTGTGTATATTTTGTCAAAAGTTTATTTTGACTATCACAATTTTTTTATTTTTTATTGTGAACATACTGTACAGAGGGGTTACAGTTACATGGGCAAGATAATTAGTACATTTCTTATCAAGCATTGTAGCCTCCTCCTTTGTTTACCCTTCACATCCCTTCCCAGCCTCCCCCCCGCCCCCACCATCACTGAATTTTTGCTGGAAGTTTTTCAATGTTAGAACATGTTGTAGTGAAGTCTGTACTGGAGGTTTATCATTCACTTTGGGACATTCTTTCCAGTGACCTATGTGGGAATGTCACATAAAAAGGAAGGCATCTTTGTATTCTTAAAAGAACTTTGCCTGGAACGAGAAGAAGTAGATTATCTAGGACCTGACCTCTGTTGATGTGTATTTAGATAGCCTATTTAAGTACTTTGTCCTCCTAAATGTCTTCATTTATGAAACAAGGGAATTGATAGGATCATTTCTTACCGCTTATGCGTATAAAGTTTAAGTAATTTAACTTAGAACTGTGTGGTGATTAAGGTCACACAGCACAAATACCATGAAGTTAAATGTATTCTACTAAAAAGAAATTATTATACACAAAACTAAAGGTTTAAATCAGTTTAGAAATTACTAAAATTTATATATGACTATATATGAAATATATATTGGATTTAAAAGTAAAAGTGAATGAAATAACTTTTAGGTGTTCTTGTTTCTTACTAGTGTAAAAATATAACTTATTGATTGTTTTATATGTCAGCCTGAGAGTAGTTGGATATATTCATAAAAGTGTTTTCAGATGTCATTAAAATTTTTTGTTATTGTTTTTCTTAAGGTGATATACCAGAAGGGTTATCATTTCATAAGTCAGGTAATGAATTTATTTCTTTTTAGGCAATGTCCAGACATCATTTTGAACTCCATTAACAGTCATACTAGTTCCTTTGTTATTTGTCAGGTAGATTTTGTGGAGAAGAGTCCTTGAGTAATCTCAGGTCTTGTGAAGGCTCTTTTTTCTTTCCTTTTTTTTTTTTGTTGATTTTGGGGCTTGTACTCAGGGCCTAAGCTTTTTTACTCAAGGGTAGCACTCTTAACACTTTGAGCCACCGCGGCATTTTGGATTTTCTGAGTGGTTAATTGGAGATGAGTCTCAGACTTTCCTGCCCGGGCTGGCTTTGAACTGAGTTTCTCAGATCTCAGCCTCCTGAGTAGCTAGGATAACAGGCGTGAGTCACTGGCACCTGGCCAATTTGTGAAGACTCCTATTACATCTGAAGCAGTTTTCTCTAAGACTGTTTCCTAACCTTAATGAGGGATACCTCTGAAAGTATCTATTTTGTTCTTCTCCATATCTGGACAGAACTTGTCTTGGGACAAGTTGTCCAAATATTTCAAAAAAGGGAAATGCAATAATCTATAAGGAACAGTTCAGGTTATTGTTTTGCTGTTTGACATTTTCATATTTATAAAACCAACCTCTGTTATTTAGATATGTAGGTGTCTTGGCCTATCCTTAGTATTATTGACATTATCCCTGAAAATAATGGTGACATTTAGCTGGGTGCTGATGGCTCATGCTGGTAGTCCTAGCTACTCAGGAGGCTAAGATCTGAGGATAATGGTTCAAAGCCAGTCCAGGCAGGAAACTCTGTGAGACTCTTCAGTAAACTACTTAAAAAAAAAAAAAAAGCCAGAATTGCTGTGGCTCAACTGAGAGAGTGCTAGCCTTGAGCAAAAAGAAGCTCATGGACAGCACCCTGACTGAGAGTTCAAGTCCCAAGTGTGCATGTGTGCTTGCACACACAAAAATTGGTCTTGGGCACAGAAATGGAGGGACAGAGGGTGAGCAAAAGTAGCAGTGGTACTCAGCAACTATGCTGAAAATGAACTGTACAACCTGTAGGCAGGGATGAGAGGGGAAAATAGAATGAAGGAAGGATGACATTGTCCTGAAAGAAATGTACTCATTACCTGACATGTGAAATGGTAACCCCTCTGTAAGTCACCTTTATAATAGCAATAACAATAAAAAGAAAGAAGGTCCTATTTATTTATTCAGTGAGTGTATTTATGCTAAGCATTATGCTAAGTATTGGGGATTACTGGAGAATATTATAGTAGATGAATTTTGACCCTGGGGACTACTGAAATTCAAATCTTAATGCCATTGTTTTGCCAAAGCATATCTTAAGCCAGATCCTGCGGGTCTTAGCGATACCTTTCACCTATGTGATTGATGCCTATAGATCATTGGCATTTTTTGAGAGTTCAAATAATCGATTTGAGTTTTCCCATTTTGTTTTTCCTAGTATGGCTTTATCACTATCTTGTATATTTAGGTATATGGATTGGAAATAAGGGACAAATATTCTGATGCTTTTTTTGATCAGGAGCCAAGGAGCATGCTAGGGAGCATGTGGGGAAAAAATGCACTCAACATTGTGCTACATTGAGATCTGGTATAATTCTATTTTATATCAGTTTGTGCTCATTTGCCCCTTATAAGCTAGGGAGGGTGCTTTTTTTTTATGATTGTTAGATTTGAATATGATGACAGTTTTAATTTGAACTTGTCTGACCTTTTTCTTTTCCTTCTTTTTTTTGGTGGGTTCTGGGGCTTGTACCTCAGGGCTTGGGCGCTGTTCCTGTGCCTCTCTGTGCTCAAGGCTAGCATTCTACCACTTTAGCCACAGCGCCACTTCTGGCTTTTTCTGTTTATGTGGTATTGAGGAATTGAACCCAGGGCTTTGTGCATGCTAGGCAAGCATCCTACCATTCAGCCGCATTCCCAGTCCTACCCTTTCCTTTTTTTTTTTTTTGGTGGCAGTACTAAGGCTGAATTCATTTGTGCTCTGACTTGACTTTTTGCTCAAAGCTGATGTTCTACCACTTGAGCCATTGTTCCACTTCTGGCTTCTTGGTGCTTAAGTGGAAACGAGAATAAGACTTTCCTCCTTGGGCAGACTTTGAACCATGATCCTCAGATCTTAACCTCCTGAATAGCTAGTCATGTGCCCCCAATGCCCAGCAAGTTAAATGTTTTTTTAAAAAAAACACATTTCGGGTTGTTTGTGGTTTTACTCACACATACAAAATGAATTGCTTGCTTTCTCCTCCTCCTCCTCCTCCTTCCTCCTCCTTCCTCCCCCTCCCCCCCTTGTATTTTTGTTTGAGACGAGTTTCTGGAGACTTGTTAAATTACTGCCCAGGCTAGTCTCAAATTCCTGGGCTTCAAGTGATTCCTGGGTTGTCAAGTGATTCTCCTGTCTCAGCCTCCTCAATAGTTTGGAGTACAGGTGTGTATACTGATACTTTTGTATGAACTTGCGGAAATTTATGTTAGTTAAATGGGTTCCACATTTCTCTTACTATAGGTAGGTTATTTTTATACTTCCTGTTTTTAGTTTTCAGAACTTCTAAGTTTCAGTGTAATTTATATTGTCCCTTCCCCTCCATTCTTTTCCCTCCCTTCCTTCTTTCCCTCCTTCCCTTCCTTTCATAGTTTCTGTCAAGTAGTTGTACAAAAGGGTTTCATTTAACATGTCACTATAGGTATAATGCCTCTTGATCAGAATAACACTTTCCTAATTTTCCCTTCTTTATTTTCAATTCAAGTAACTGAATTTTTTTCCTAAGTGTGTGTGTGTGTGTGTGTGTGTGTGTGTGTGTGTGTGTGTGTGTGTGAGAGAGAGATAACTTAAGGACTGAGTTAATTTTTCCATAGGGACGAGCAGTTTTCCCTGTGTTTTTACTTTCTCATGGATTTGTAATGCCAGTTCTTGTGGCATTTTTCATGTATTCCTAAGTTGCTTGGAGTTTTCTGTTTTCTTGGTTCTTTTGTATATTTCTGTTGGAAAAGCTTGCTGTTTCATAAGGGCATCTTGTGAAGCGGTTCTTCTGGCTGTTTCTTCTGCCTTGTTCTTGGGCTTGTCCTTCTTAATTCTGAGCCCTTCGATGTATTGATTTTTGGATTAGAGACATGCCACCAGTAACAGCTATGCAGATTTCAAAATCCAGTAAGCTGAACTACGAGACCACTGTGGTCTCAGGCATTGAGGATAAAGGTTCCTCTGCTCACCCAGCACCGAATAATCAGTTTTTATCTGGATCTACTAAATTGGAGCCTTGATTGGCAAGGGCCCTGGAAGTTTTAAGTAGTAGTCATGCCCGTATCAGCTGGGAGCCATTGCACTGTGAAATCTGGGTTGTTTACGGATTTTAACAGCATGTCCCATACTCTATAAATGAAAAATTGTTTCTTCTCTCTTTGGCTCTAGGTTTCTTTTTGTTTTTCCTTGTTTTGCTTCTCTGGCATTTACCTCTCTTAATTCTCTATTATACTTTTTCTTCTCTCTAGTGTTTTACTGGTCTCTTCTGAATTTACTTATAAGTTATTGATGGACATTTTCTTTATTCTCATTTAGTCCTGGAATTACGCTTTGTTTCTAGGTTTTTCTCTCTCTGTACCATCAACATTGAGGTTTCATTTTCGTTCTCACCCCAGGTTAACTTACCCTATTTTTGGGGCAAGTCTGAGTTGCTCACACTGCTAGTAATTGCCTTTGTTGTTGTTGTTCTTTTGTTTTGATGCCAGTCCTGGGATTTGAACTCTGGGCCTGGGTGCTGTTCTTGAGCTTCTTTTGCTCAAGGCTAACACTCTACCACTTGTTCCATTTCTGGCATTTTTTGGTAGTTTTTTGGAGATAAGAGTCTCACGGAATTTCCTACCCTGGCTTGCTTTAATCAGCAATCTTCAGATCTCAGTCTCCTAAGTAGCTAGGATTGTAGATATGAGCCACTGGCGCCTGGCTAGTAATAACCTTTTTATCACCAAATTAGGAAACAACTGCCAGGACTAGTTGGAAGGAGTCTGAGTTTAAAGGAAGTTTGAAGGTTGATGTCCTTAAGAAGGCCTGCTTCTACCCATCTTTCCCCCTCCCCCCCTTTATTTCTAATAGGGAAGAGGAAGAGCGTCTGAGAAATAAAATTCGAGCTGATCATGAGAAGGCTCTGGAAGAAGCAAAAGAAAAATTAAGAAAGTCAAGGGAGGAAATCCGTGCAGAAATTCAGACAGAGAAAAGTAAGATACTCCAGGAACTGAAGACAAAAGAAAATAAGCCACTGCCACCAGTTCCTGTTCCAAACCTTGTGGGAATCAATGGGGGAGACCCAGAAGATACTGACATAAGAAAGAAAAGGGAAAAAATCAAAGAGGTAATGAACAGATTTGTGATATGGTGGTGTTACAGATGTGTGTTAGACTATGTAAATTATATATTTATATATCTATGTACTGCATATATATTTTCAGTTTTAGTTTTTTGGTTGGTACCAAGCTTCCAACTCAGTCTTACTTGTCTTTGCTTGCTTGGGTGGCACTTTACCATTTGAGCTATGCCTGTTTTTTAATTGGTTATTTTGGAGGTGGAATCTCAGGGCTTTGCTGCTCGGACTGGCTTTAAATTGTGCTCCGCTGGGTCTTGGCTTCCTGAATAGTTAGAGTTGTAAGCATGAGTCACTGCTTCTAGCTATGCTGTCATCTTTCATCTTATTTGTTGTTGGGTTACACTTGCAGTTCTGGTTTCAGGTTGGCAGAAAAGGCTAGAGCAATGTCTCTTTCTTAATATTGATCATAATGCAATTATTAGCCAATTAAAATCTAGATGTAAGGTTGTTTTGATGCTTAAATCACTCATACTGCTAGAGAGTTTTTGCAGTGCAGATTTTATTTTATAAATAATGCAGAGTTCATTTATAATTTATCATTGAATAAGCAATTTAAATATTTGGTTACAAGGGACTCTGCTAGATAATAAGTAGGTCTTCTCATAAACATGTTCCAAAGAGAGCATTGCCGAGAGTGATGGCAAAAGCTGTAATCCCAGCTGCTTTTGAGGCAGATGTTGGAGGATTTGAGGTCTGAAATCAGCCCTAGGCAAAAATAACTAAAGCAAAAATGGGAAGAAAGTTTAGTGACAAAGTTAAACTTTCTTAATTAGAACTCCTGATAATTCTGGGTAGAGTTTGTAGTTGTACCTTTTATAAAGAAAGATTTTGTTAAGAGTATAACAACAGGAACAATATTTTAAAAGGCTTGTTTATTATAAGATACTACATTTAATTCAACTAGTCAAACACCCTTGTTTATATTCTGTTGCTGGGTATAGAAGGCTTAGCAGATGTTTTAAGCCTGGTCTTACGAATTATTATAAATTCTTGGTGTTGGTGGATTCAAAATAGAACTATACTCTATGCACAGACTGATTAATACACTTCCTTTGGGCCGGGTTTGGGACACATTGATGGATTTTTTTTTCTCCATACCTGACTAGCTGTTTTATATTCCATACTCATTTTTTTGAATGCTTCCTTCTCTACATATCTGATAGATAACCGTGTCTGTTTCAGGGGGCCCCAGGCAACCCTCAGGCTCAGTGGTACACTGAAAGAAAGTCACAGCATTTGGTTTAAGTTTGTTGAGCTGGTAGCCTGTCCCTTTACTAAAGTCATTGACTATTTCTAGTAGTTTTTTTGTAGGTCAAATAAGGTTTGGGTTTTTTTTTTTTTTATTCAGTCTGGTCCTCTATGAATAGAGGTACATTTTCTGATTTCTTTTTCTTGGTACACTGGCCTTCCAGTACAGTGTTTAAATAAAATGGTGAGAGTGGTGTACTTGATTGTCATTTTCTTTTTCTTTTTTGGTGGTTGTGGGGCTTGAACTCAGGGTCTGGGCATTGTCTCTGAGTTCTTTTGCTGAAGGCTAGCACTCTATCACTTTGAGCCACAGCTCCAGTTTCAGAGTGGTTAATTGGAGATAAGAGTCTCACAGAGTCTTCTCTGCTTGGGCTGGCTTTGAACTGTGATCCTCAGATCTCTGTAGCTAGGATTGAAGGCGTGAGCTGCGGGCACTGGGCTTGATTGTTCTTAACTGTAGAGGTTAATAAGCATTTTGTCTTTCACTATTTAGGTTGAGGCTCTTCCTTATAGTTGTAATTTATTAAGGATATTTTACTTTTATTATTTAGGTTGAGGCTCTTCCTTATAGTTGTAGCTTACTAGGGATTTTTTTAAGGGTATTTTTATCATGAGTTGTTGTTGAACTTTTTTCAGAACAACTATATTTGTCTAATTATTTGATTTTCTCCTTTTATCATGTTAATCTGATGAGTTATATTGATGGATTTGTAAATGTTGAACTAGTTTTATATTCCAGGTTGAACTGTACCTGGTCTTTCCATTTTTTTTTTTTTAAGGAAGTTTGTGTTCTTGGAATGTATTGGCTTAAAGTTTTCTTGTATTTTTTATTTTTATTTTTTGGCCTGGTTTTGGTATCTGAGTAATGCTGGCTGCAAAGAAAAAAAATAGGGAAATGTTTTAATGAATAGTATGCTGTAAAATGAGTTGATTTTGTTACACCACAGTCTGCTATTATATAATATTCAGCTGATATATAATTAAACACTCCCCTGCTGTATCTTTCAGAACTCCTTGGGTTATAAGAAACCCATTTCAAAATAGCTGATACTGAAGTATACATTAGCTTAATGGCTCTACACTAGGGCTTCGGGCTTGACTGAATCTGAATTTGTAGATGTAATTGTCAGTAATATATATTTGTCTGTCTCTTTCCTTCTGTTAAGTTTTTCCATGTTAGGAAAGAATTAGCTATTATCAACTTTTGTACTATGTTCCTTACATATTACGTAAATCTTGGGAACACAAAATGGGAGTCCCCCTTTTTATCCCATTGTCCATATTCATGACTGAAAGGATTTCGTTGTCTTTACTTGAATCATACGTTCCCAGTCCGTTTGTCTAAGGTAGTGATTGATGACCATTTGTGGGCCAAATGCTTCTAGCTACCTTTTTTTCTTTAAAGTTTGGCTGAGGATGTGGCTCAAGTGATTGAGCATCCACTGAGCATACAAGCTGAGGGAGTATAAGGCTCTGAGTTCAAATCCCAGCACCAAAATAAAAATAAGTTTAATTGGGATACAGCCAGAACCATTCGGTAACAAATGCTCTGCTTTTGTGCCTCCACTGATCTGCAGTTGAAGGGTAAAGGATGTTTAAGTAGACTGAATTAATTGGTAGTAGAAGCAATCCCCTTGATTGGCAGCTCTGTCAGCACTGCTAGTGAGGGAAGTGGAGCTGTTCCCAACAGGACTGACAGTTTTTAAAAGAATACCAAATCAATAACTTGTTTCCCCCACCCCTGGAAATAACTTGCCAGTTACACTTAATTTGTTCCTCTTGTGTGGACTGAGATTTTCACACTGATGTAAGTGTTAATTGAACAATATGCTAATATAAGAGACCTAGAAGAATGGGGAAGGATATAGTAACTAAACCCTAAATTACATGAAACATAAAAATATAGGCTGGATCATTTAAATGATGGACTGTGGTTTTTCTCTTGGCAGATGATGAAACATGCCTGGGATAATTACAGGACATATGGATGGGGACACAATGAGCTTCGACCTATTGCACGGAAGGGTCATTCTACTAACATATTTGGTAAGTTTTCATTGTCTGATTACTGATTCTGTTTTTCTGACTCCCATCTTTTAAAACAAGACCTTTTTAAAGTGCTTTGTTACATCTGTGGCACTGTAATTTGAATGCATTATGTTTTTGTGTAAGTGTATTAAGATTTCTAGTTGCTTTGGGTTGCATTTAGTAGATTTTTCTTTTTTAAATTTTTAATATTTATTTGAAGGTGAGGTAAAGAAGGGTTACAATTGAATAGGTCAGGTAAAGAGTTCATTTCTTTTTTGATACTGTCACCCTTTCCTTCAGTTTTTTCCTTTAGTGTCGCTGCCCGCCCCGTTCTCCCCCCACCCCCAAGTTCATTTTGATAAATACTATTTTATATGAGATGCACATAGGCGTTGCATCTTTGTGCTCCTCTCCTAAGAACATCCTCTTTTGGTCTCACTCTGTGTGACTGCCTACAGTCCTGTATAATTTATCATGTCCTGGTGTATTTTCGATCTAGCTTCCAAATAGGAGTGAAAAAGGTGCCATTGGTCTTCTGAGCTTGGCTTACCTCATTTAACATGAGTTGTTCCAGGTCCATCCACTTCTCTGCAAATGACATAGTACTATTCTTTCTAATGGCTGTGTAAAATTCCATTGTGTGCATGTACATTTTTGGATCTACTCATCTATTGTTGGGCCTCTGGGCCATTTCCACAACTTGGCTATTGCAAATAATGCAGCAGTGAGCATGGATGTGCAAGTGTCTTCACAGTGTCCTGGCTTGTGATGCTGAGGGTGGATGCCCAGAAGTTGTTTGGCTGGGTCATAGGGAAAGTCTATGTTTAGTTTTTGATGAAACTCCAGACTGCTGTCTAGAGTAGTTGTACTAGTTTACATTCCCATCAGCAGTGCAATAGGCTTCCTTTCCTCCATATTCCCACCAACATTTGTTGTTGGAATTCATGATGTTGGCCAATCTTACTGGGGTGAGATGGAATCTCAAGAGTTGTTTTGATTTGTATTTCCTTTATGGCCAGGGATGATGAGCATTTCCTCACGTGTTTCTTTGTCATTCTTATCTCTCCTGAGAAGTCTCTCCTTAGCTCCTTTGCCAATTACCAATTGGTTTATTAGCTTTGCGTGGGGTTGATTTCTTGAGCTCATTGTATATGGAGACAATTGGTAGATTTTGTTTTTTGATCCAATCTTCTTCTCTATGTAGACTTTTCTACTTACATATAGATGATTTAGTAATTTACTTGAGTATTTTGAAGCTTTCTTTTTCTTTTTGTTTCTGTCAGAAAAAGCAGGTACTGTTTTAGCTTTTTCTCCAAGATAATGGCATTTGTGATACATTATGAAGGAGGAAGAAAAGAAAGGGAAATTCTCCTAATGCTTTGTACATTTGAGAAAGAAAAAGGTGATTTGGTTGGTAAATTAGGTCGGTTATGTTGTACATTCCTGGCTACTAAGGAAAACTTAAAAAATTTCCTTCTAGGGGCTGGGAAGGTGGCTCAGTGGTAGAGCGCTTGCCTTGCATGCATGAGGCCCTGGGTTCGATTCCTCAGCACCACATAAGCAAAAAGAAAAAGCTGGAAGTGGCGCTGTGGCTCAAGTGGTAGAGTGCTAGCCTTGAGCTGAAGAGCTGAGGGACAGCGCCCAGGCCCAGAGTTCAGGCCCCACGACCGGACCAAAAAAAAAAAAAAAAAAAAATTTCCTTCTAAAATGAAGGAAAAATGAAGTATGTGTTTGAGTGGAGTTTGAGCAGGAGCTGTGTTCATTCTGAGTTTGCTCTTATTCCGTCTTTAGTCCTCAGTCCACTTGTTAAAACTTCCCAGTTTCACTGAGCACATCTTATTAAACACACAGTTAAGTCTGGAGACTTGCCAAGTTGGTCTTGTGCTTCCCCTATTTTCCATGCTTATTGGTAGATAACCTTTTAAGGAATGGTAGGCAGAGATAGGAATATTTCAGTGGGGGAAGGCACATATATTTATCATGGGTGGCACAGCTTTCTTTTCCTTCCTTCCATCCTTCTTTCCTTCCCTTCTTTTTTGTTGTTGGTTGTTGGGCCTGAACTCTGGGCCTGGGCACTGTCCCTTAGCTCTTCAGCTCAAGGCTAGTGCTCTACCACTTGTGTCACGGCGCCACTTCCGTGGTTTATTGAAGATACAAGTCTCATGGACTTTCCTGCCTGGGCTGGTTTTGAACCGAGATCCTCAGATCTCAGACTCCTGAGTAGCTAGGATGACAAGCGTGAGTCACCAGCGCTGGGCTACAACTTTCATTATTAGTAATTACAGTATACCATCACTGTTACTGTGATATTATAGAAGAATTTTTGCTGACTTCTCTTAAAGTTTCCTTGTTGTTACTTGTGTTTTGTGAACAAATAATAGGCCTTAAAGAATAATTTCTCCGCCGGGCGCTGGTGGCTCACGCCTGTAATCCTAGCTACTCAGGAAGCTGAGATCTGAGGATCGCAGTTCAAAGCCAGCCCCTGCAGGAGAGACCGTGAGACTCCTATCTCCAATAAACCACCAGAAAACCGGAAATGGCGCTGTAGCTCAAGTGGTAGAGCACTTGCCTTGAGCTGAAGAGCTGAGGGACAGCGCCCAGGCCCAGCGTTCAAGCCCCACAACCGACAAAAAAAAAAAAAAGAATAATTTCTCCTAGGCTGGAGAAATTCTGTGGTAGAAGAAGAAAATTTCTTTTTGACAAATCAGTGATTACCAAGGACCTCCCAGTTATCATTTAATGAAATAAATGCGTATTTCCTCTGCAGAGGTTGCAGATTATAAAGTTCCTATTGCTTTGTGGATACTACAAAAATGAGACATTAATGTACTGCAAGAAATATTTAGTGGTTAATTAAAATGAGGTCTTCCCTTTATATTAAGCTAAGTGGTAAACTTATTTTTTAAAGCATTTGAATGTAAGCACCTATTGAAAACAAGAAGTGGATGTTGGGAGTTGTTCTGTGGCTCAAATGGTAGAGCACTAGCCTTGAGCTGAAGAACTGAGGGACAGCTCCCAGACGCAGAGTTCAGGCCCTACAACTGATACAAAAACAAAACAAAAACAAACTTCTTTGGAAGTGGTGCTGTGGCTCAAGAGGTATAGTGCTCGCCTTGACTGGAGAGCGCAGGGACTGCACCCAGGCCTAGAGTTCAAGCCCCATGACCGACAAAAAAAATAATATGTATGTGCCAAATAGATACTGGTCTTGCTACTGTTTAGCAAATTTATTTTTTGTGTTTTCGAAGACAGGGTGCTACTATATAGCCCAGACTGGCCTTGACCTCTCCATCTTCCTGCCTCTGACCCTTAAGTACTGGCTGGTATTACTGCAAGACATGCCCCCTCAGGCCTGGCCAGCATGAGTTCTTCTTACCTATATATTCTAGAAAATTTGTAAGATATGTTAGAAACAGGTCTTTTTTGCATCAAAATGAAGGAATTTTGATTTGGAATGGAGTATTAGACACTTGATGTAGGATTTTATTTCCCACATAGAGTACAGACATACGTATATGTAAATTCTGTTCATTATTTCTACTTTACTGGAGTTTGCTTTACTAATATTTTGTTAATAGGTATTGTATTTATATTGTTTTGATATCTTTGTAGTACTGGACTCATAAAAATGAATTGGAAAGTATTCTCTGCTCTTCGTCCTTCTAGAAAGGGGACATTTAAGATTAGTTTTATTTTTCCTTAAGTGCTTTGTATAATTAGTGGGTGAGCTCATTTGGATTTGTCTCTTCTGTTTTCAATGCTATTAGCTTTTGTTTTTATGTGTTTTGTAGATCTCTTTGCCCTATGAATTATTATGTCTTCTTGACAGGATCATTAAAGCCCTCAAACCAAAACCAGACCAAGGTAGTACAGGACAAAGAAACGTATAGACAGATATCACGTATGAACATAGACACAGGCAAATCTTAGTAAATTTAATGAATTAATATATAAAAGAATAAATAATCATGGCCAAGTGCCTTTGGCATGCATGGCTGGATATTGGTCAGTCTGATTGAAGATATTAAGGGAAAAAGAGAATAAAGTAGGTACCAGAAAAATATTTAATGACGTTCAGTGTCCAGCAATACTAAAACCTCTCAGCACAGTAGATTAGAAAGAAGTTTCTTTAGCTTAATGAGAGGATATCAAGACAACAACAACCATATAGTATAGTAGAGCTATATATTCTCTTATGTGTGTATATTGTGTGTGTTCGTGTGTGTTCATGTGTGTGTTATTTCAGAATGTGGGTTTGTCTGTGTGTGTGTGCGCACGCGTGCATGTGGGTGCCAGTCTTGAGGCTTAAACAGGGCGTAGGCACTCTCCCTGAGATTTTGTGCTCAAGACTAGTGCTTTACCACTTGAGCCACAGCTCCACTTCTGTTTTTTTTTTTGTGATTAATTGGAGATAAGAGTCTCAAGGCTGTTCTTGCCTGGACTGGCTTCCAATTGCAGTCCTCAGATCTCAGTCTCCGGAGTAGCTGGGATGACAGGTGTGGTCCACCAGTGCCCAGCTAATGTGTCTAATATTTTAGAACTAATGTTCTAGACAATACCACCATGCAGGGAACCGGAAGGGAGAAAGCCAAGGAGTTCATCAGGGTGGCTTGGAGTGCTTGTCTTGTGAGTGGGAAAATAGCCTTCCTGATGGGCTGAAGAAATTATTAGGAATATATGAATGAGAAAATGGCATTTAAATTAAGGACAACCATGGAAAAAATGGATGTGTTAGCTTAAGTCCTCAGAAGCAAACTTTTTTACCAAATAGAAAGGAGAATGGAAGAACAAACAGAAGAAAGTAAGATTGTCCTGTTTCCCTTGTTGTGTTTTCCATATTGAAGTATCTTATTTTGGTATCAGACTGGCTTCGTTAACACCTCTGTCTCTCCCACCTCCCTTTTTCTCTGGAATATTTCTTTAAAGATCAAGAAGGTAGATTTTGTTACTTTGATTTCTCTACTCATATTTTATGGTTTCTTTTTTTAGTATAATTTACTTATGGTCTTTTTTCCCTGATGTACTGGGGATTACACTCACAGCTTCAAGTTCAATTAAATTCAGTTAAGTAAAAAAGTGTTTTCTATTCTGACCATGCAGAAAGTTAAGGAGAATTACACTTTTGAATTTTCTATTAGTTATCAGTGTGCCATCTTTCACAAATTATAGTAAACTCCTTATGTTCTAAGGAAAAAGTGAGCACTATTTGGCATTCTCTTTTTCAGTCCTTACATTCTTTATATTACATATAAACATATGTATATTTATAAATAAAATGTTCCTTATATGAAGGGGATGTTTTTAATGACAGCTATTTTTTCCCCTAATATAGGAAGTTCGCAGATGGGTGCTACCATAGTAGATGCATTGGATACCCTTTATATCATGGGACTTCATGATGAATTCGTAGATGGACAAAGATGGATAGAAGACAACCTTGATTTCAGTGTGGTGTGTATACCATCAGTTATTAATCTCTTATATTACCTATTAAAAAAGACACTGCTGGGCATGTTGGCTTTTGCCTGTAATCATAGCTACTCAGGAGGCTGAGATCTGAGATTCATGGTTCAAAGCTAGCCTAGACAGGAACATCTGAGAGACCCATATCATCAATTAACTTGCAAAAAGCTGGAAGTAGAGGTGTGGCTCAAGTAAAGCTCTAGCCTTGAGTGAAAAAGCTAAGGGACAGCGACTATGCTCTGAGTTCAAGACCCAGTACCAGCAAAAAAAAAAAGAAGACATATTGTCTTAATGCTATAATCTGAATGTTTGTCTCCTTCCCAAATGAATGAATGGAGTCTTAATCACTAACGTGATGATATTTGGAAGTATGGTTTTCGTGAGGTGACTGGGAGAGCCCTGTCCTGATTAATATGATTATTGCCCTTATAAAATAGCTCCCAGAGCACTGCTGTGACCCTTGAACCATTGAGGACACAGTGAGAAATGTGTGAGCCAGAGAATGGCTCCTCAGTGGGCACTGGATGAGCTGGCACATAACTGGGCTGCCCAGTTGGCAGAAGTGTGGGATCATTGACTACATAGGATGATACTTTAGTTACTGTTTAGTTATTGCCTAAGATACACATCACAGTAGTTTAAACATAGGTATTAACTGTTGCAAAAAATTCTTTCTTCTTTTGTGATTGTCACTTATCACGTAGTTTTTACCTGCTTTTCTTGCCATTTTCCTCTTACATTTCTGGCCCTTATCACGTAGGCATTGTCTTAAATGTGCTTCCGCAGTAGTTGGGGGAGGAAAAGCAGTGGACAAGACATAATATGGACCTATAAAGTGCTTTGTGAAAAACAAACATAAACAATAAACCTTTTCAAAAGAGGTTTAATGGTTTGTCACAGCGATGGTGAACCTTCATAGAGAGGCCTCTGCCCAGCCTTCCCTTCCTACACCTTGGTATAGGGGTGTGGCTTAGCTGTAGAGCCTACAGGGTACATTCTACCCTGTGATTTGAGAAGGTTGCTGTCCCACTGTACTATTGTGAGGTTACTTGAGGTACTCTGGTACAGAGTAAAGGCTGAACAGTTGTTAGGATTCAGATTCCTGTCTCCCATGGTGCTTTGCTTCCTCCTTCCTCTCTAGGGCAGCATTCTCTATTCCTCTCTGCTTTTCTTTCTGTAGTGAATCATCTTTCAAACTGTTATTGAAGTCCATCCTTACATCTTTACTGATGATTTTCCTTGTGCTATGAAGACCAAACTGTATGTGTTATTCTGTGTTGCCCTGAGCATTGTAGTGCTAGACATATTTATTGGTATTTCTTATTTAGAATAATTCATGTTTTCACTTATGTTTAGGTTTGGTTTTGAGGGGTAGAAAATCTAATGTTCAATCACGGAAACAAGATAAAGTGTAATTTCTCTGTCATCTTAGCCAAGTGCAGGCAATTGAGGCTGCTTTTCCTAACTCCTTAATGATCAGGACCTGGGGTCCTTTGTCTTCTACTTCAGTTGACCTCCTCATATACAGTGGTTCTTCACAGGGCGGACACCTTAGCTACTTTCCAGTCCCAGAAGAGGAAGAAGAGATAGCTGGAGATGGGCCGATTGTTCTCAGGAGTGTCACCTGCGTTTTCCTCATGTTGCCTTGCCTGTCTGTGCAGAGAACCTGGGACATACAGGCATTGTTTTTTATTTATTTTTCTCCTTTACAGCTTTGTAGCCCTAATAGATTGTATTTTGTATATCTAGTATATAAAATCCCTATTCTTCAGTGAGGAGGATATATTCTTATATTTTCTTTTAAACATTTTAAAGTTTTGCTTCACTCTTTTTTTTTTCTAAAGAATTACAAAATATAGTTAATATTCTACAGTAAGAACTACAAAACATAGCCAAGAGAAATGAAGCATATACCATGCTTCTGTGTTACTTATCTCTGAATTTATCTTTAATACAATGCCAATAAATATTTGAGCAATTTATTTTTTGTGGAAATTGAAATTCCAGAATTTAGATGGAGGCAAAGGGAGCCAAGAATAGTCAATAAAATATAAAAGAAAAAAAAATTCGAAGATTTATTCCAGAGGATGTAAATACTTATATGGCTATAATAGTAAAGATGATGTAGCAGAATGTCTATGTACATCTCATTTATGCCCAAGTGTCACTTTTCAGTATATGATAGTGGCTTAACTGGGCATCCGTATAGGAAAAGAATTGATAGAAAATGTGACCCTTGCTCCCACCTTATAAAATTTAAATTTCAATTGGAATATGAATATTAGTGTAAAATACAAGAACAGATCTCATAGGATATCTGAGAATTTCATTGTGACCTTGGTATAGGGAAAGGGGTCTTAAATAAGATACAATGTCTTAAGACTGAAAGCGTTAATCATCCAAGGTGCTTTTAGCCTTTATAGCCTTTAATCCTTGTAGAGTAGCTTATGTGTGCAGGGTATAACAGGCAGCTGTCATTGGTCCTAGCCTGCTTATTTCTATATGCCTTTTTGTCATACATTGCTCATTTTAGTTTGTTCTTTTACTTGGGTCTTTTTCTCTACTAACCTGTTTTAAACAAAGTATTTTCAAAAGAAGCTTGTTGATTCCATCCGAATCTTGTTCTCTGAGGACATTCTTAGTTCTCAGTCCTTTGTTATTTCACATTCTAGAAAACTTGAAGTTTTGATGAGGATTTCACAGAATATATAATTTGGAGAGAGTGGAATCTCTTGTGTATCATTGTACCAGTGGAGGCTCCGTCAGAGACCAGAACTACACCATCAACTGTAGGATTTAATGTTTAGAATTGTTAATTGAGTAATGGGAGCCAAAAGACCAAATGAAGTAGTAAATAGAGGAAACAGCTACCACCCATGGGACTCCGAGAACATGGGAAGAGGTGGAAATCCTTAAAATGTACTAACTTGGGCTTTGTGGAACTAGTATCCAGAGCTACTACGGCAGGCATTGCTGATATCTTAATAATTTTTTTAAATTCTTTTTTTTTTTTTTTTTTGTCGGTCATGGGGCTTGAACTATGGGCCTGGACGCTGTCCCTCAGCTCTTCAGCTGAAGGCGAGCACTCTACCACTTGATCTACAGCGCCACTTCCGGTTTTCTAGTGGTTTATTGGAGATAGGAGTCTCACTTTCCTGCCCGGGCTGGCTTTGAACTGTGATCCCCAGATCTCAGCCTCCTGAGTAGCTAGGATTACAGGCATGAGCCACCGGCACCTGGCCATCTTAGTAATTCTTACAAAGATGGTCCCAGAGTAGACTCTATCCTCTAGGCTGGTGCCTTGCCACTGCGTGACATCTAAGGGGCACACGAAGTCTGGTTTGGGTGTGAGGAGACTAGTGTACCCTGGGGCCCGCTGTGACTGTCCAGGTGAAGCACTGTGAGAAACGAGATGTACCCTGGGTGGAGAGAATATTTCTCCTTCCTCCAGTCTCCCATTGGTGGGACCCAGCTGCAGTCCAGGTGTGGGGTCTCAACAGGAATATATCAGAGTAGAGCACCGAAGAGTGAGCCTGAGAGAAGGCTTTTCAGGGCGCATTTCCCATCCCTCTACCACTTGAGCCACAGTGCCACTTCCAGTTTTCTGGTGGTTTATTGGAGATCAGAGCCTCACGGACTTTCCAGCCCAGGCTGGCTTTGAACCCCGTAGATCTCAACCTCCTGAGTAGTTAGGATGACAGGTGTGAGCCACCGGTGCCTGGCTTTGTATTTTGTTTTTTATTCAGTTATAAAAAATATTACTACAATTGTAAATATTTGGTCTATTAACGTGCTTGGAGGCGAGCCTTCCGTCTTTATTTTTCTCTCTAGTTGACATCTTGTTCTTTCATCATCTTGTTCTATTTCTCTCTCCATATTTTGGATTGTTTCATGTTTCTTTTTTCCATCTACTCTCTTGACTTTTATACTTTCCATTTACATTCATATTTTGGGTTACTCTTACACTTTGAGCATATCTACTTAACAAAGTTGAAAACCCGTCTGTTTTTGGCCCTTCTGAAGAACATATCTGTTAGACTATATTAGACTTTGCCAGAAAACCACGCAGACATCCCGGTACAAAGAACAAAGGAAAGGTCTGTTGCCAGCAAAGGGACAGGCAAGACCCTGTCTCACACCAGGTGAGGTGACTTTTTACAGCCTACGAGGTTTAGGAGGCGGTGGCCCTGGTGAGGAGAGGGGGGGGGACCGCACGCAGAGCCTTCATCATGGTGGCTGGGACTGATGGCTGCTGCCCAGGTAGGAGGTACGGGGTCTTGCAGCTGCCCGGACCTGAAGGTCACTCTAGGGGGCTCTTGCTGCCTTATCTGGTGGTGGTGTCCCCGAGGAGTGCCATCCAACGGTAAGGGGTGGCGACTGGTTATGCACTGCCTTCATTCCATGGGCCTGGTGTGGCCTAGGAAAGGCGTGTGAGAAACTATGGGAAGGGATGATTTTAGAATGAGTTAGCTTAGCTCAGCTCCTTCTTGTGTTATTAAGCCTGTGCAAACTCTTCAGTAATGGATGAATCACTACTTTTCTTGAATGCCACTTTTCAGAGCACACGGTGCTCTGCGTTCTGAGGATCTCTTGTCTCAAGTTTGTCGTCTAGTGTCGAGAGAAGCACTGTACAGCATGGACGCAGGCTGCTGGGTGGGTTGCGCACTATGGAGAATACGGAGGTGTGCCTGAGATAGTGTAGGCAGTATTGCTGTCTTACGTGGGGGATATTGAAGGACTCTTTACTATAGTGACATTTCTAGGAAGAGGCTCAAGGCGGGGGAGGCCCTGTGCATGTTAACTGTGTGGCTGAGAACAGCACGAGAGGTTGCTGGTTGTTTTCTTCAGCCTTCTAAAGGCAGGAGGCTGTTGTGTTTTTGCTTTAGCCCTGCTGTGGGAAGGCAATATCTTTTTATAAGCTAATGTCTTGTTCTCCTTGCTTTTATGTTTTGTTTTCCTCTGTGTGAAAATGTGGTAATTCTATTTCCGTATGTCTGTGTGTGGATTATTCTTGAGAAGACTCATGATGAGGATTGATGTTTTCTCAGCTCTTGAGGATGCTCAGCCATTACTCTTTTCAGTATGCCTCTGCCTAGTTTCTCTGTCTCTTCCTCTATCTAGAACTTGTCTTGTGTGTCACTAGTCAGGGAAAAAGTAAGAATCTTACAAGTAATCACAGTGATCGATGATGGTAATGTTATTTGAGGTAATAGTACAGATAAGTAATAGTGTTGATGGATACTATTTTATACTGGGTGGTCAGAAAAAAATTAGGATAAGGTGACATTTTTGCATAAATTCCTAATAGAGCAGTCATTTAGCTAGATGAAGGGAAGCACCCGGACAAAAAGAAAGTGAAAGGCTGAGTACTTGCCTGGAGGTTGGCAGTCCTGGGGTAACAGTGGGGCCTCACAGAGGGAGGTCAAGGGGAGAAGTGGGATCCAAAGGCATTGGGCTGATTGGTCATTTCCTGGGGGTGTGGCCAGGGCCACGGTGGTACATTTGCAGTATGAAGCTGTGGAACAGTGAGTTTCCTTCTGGAATTCCCTCTTCACCCCTGCCATAACGCCTGGCTCTGAGTCTGAATGCTTACCCTGCTTAAAGGAAAAGAACAGGGTACATGAAAATGAAAAAAATGGCTGGGTGCCTGTCATCCTAGCTACTCAGGAGGCTGAGATCTGTGGTTCAAAGCCAGCCCAGGCAGGAAAGTCCGTGAAGACTCTTATTTCCAAAAAACCAGCAGAAAACTGGAAGTGGCTTAGTGGCTCAACTGGTAGAGTGCTTGCTTTGAGCTGAAGAGCTGAGGGACAGGGCCCAGGCCCAAAGTTCAAGCCCCCAAAAAAACTGACCAAAAAAAGAAAGAAAGAAAGAAATTTCTTTACAATTTGGCCAATACAGGCTAGGGAAATTCTCTGCCTCCTGCTTTTCCTTGGTGTTACAGCTTACAAAAAGGCTGAAGCAACGTCAGGAAATGTGCCTGTGTGGGGGTCGCTGTGGCCTTTGCCCAAGCCCAGGGTCTGGCTCCTAGCACCAGGGACCAGGGGTTTTGAGGTGGTGTGTCCTGTGGGGAGCAGAGTATATAGGCACAACTGTGGAGACTTCCTATTTCTCAGCTCCATCCAACTGGAGCGTAGAGAGGAAGCCCTGGATGAAAGCAAAGAAACTGTTGGGCAAGTTATTACTATACTTCCGTCCGTAGAAGGCCTTCCGCCCCCATGTTAAAGCGGCTATGTGTCCTGTAGTACTCTAGTATGCTTTTTATTGAAATATATGAAGTAATGCTAAGCATGTTTTTTTCAGGAATGGGTTTAGATAAGTCATAATATCAAAACGTTAGATTTTTTTTTTTTTGTGGTACTAGGGCTTGAACTCAGGGCCTTGTGCTTACCAAGCAGATAAATGTTCTACCAATTGAGCTAGGCTCTGAGGCCTTTATGTTTTTGTTATTTTTCATATAAAAGTCTTCCACTTTTGCTTGGGGCCTTGGACCATGATTTTCCTATCTCTATCCTGAGTAGCTGGGATTATAGGTGTGTGATACCATACTTAGCATGTTTTTGAGTTAAGGTCTAACTTTTTTGACTGAGTGCACTTGAGCCACAGTCCTCCCATCTCTACCTCTCTCTAGCTAGAATTATAAGTGTGAATCATGCTCAAGAAAAATTACATTATATTGTGATAGTTCCATGTTAGGAAAATAAACACATTTGTGTCAACAAATGATGTGTTCTGTCTTATAAATACTGGAAAGTGTTAGGTTTTTAAAAAGAGGTTACCGAGTAAGAACAGCACCAGCACTCGTCACGAGGTATTCAGGTAAGGGGTAGGTTTATTCGGTAGACCTGCTGGGACCAGGCAAGGTTGGCACTCCACGTGGCTGGCAAAAGAGAGAGGAAAGAGAGAGAAAAGAGCTAGAAAAGAGCAGAGAGAGCAAGAAAAGAACAGAGAGAGCTTCTGGGCCTGCTCTAGGCCTTATCTAGGGTATGGGCGGAGAAGGGTGTGGCCACATCAAATTCAGATGTGACCTCTTCCAGGTGTCCCAGTTGCCTAGGTAACGCAGGTACTGGGTGGAGACTTTGCTGCGAGGAGGGTGGAGTCTGCTCGCCATCCAGGAGCGGACCTTACAGAAAGATTTCAGGATAATCTAACTTTTTGTTAAAATTTAATTATGAAATTACTAATAAAATTCATAATTCATATTTATATATACTTTATTTGTGAATTCTTGTTTATACTGTAGTTCTACATATACTGGAATTATACCATGAATTGTTTTTCTAATCCTGTTTCCATGCCTACATACAAATATACACACACACATATAAAATCTTTGGAATTATACTTAGATTATTAATGTTTCTATATATGTGCCAAACTTCTTTCAGTTTACTTTTTTTGGGGAGGTCTGGTTGTGGAGCCTGAACTCTGGGCATGGGCACTGTCCCTCAGCTTTTCAGCTCAAGGCTACCACTCTACCACTTGAGCCACAGCGCCACTTCCGGCTTTTTTATTTTTGCTTATGTGGTGCTGGGGAATCGAACCCAGGGCCTCATGCATGCAAGGCAAGCACTCTACCACTGAGCCACCTTCCCAGCCCCTCAGTTTACTTTTTTTTAAAAAATTTGGTTCATAACTTTGGTTCTTTTAAACAATTTGCATTTCAGAGAAATTTCAAGACTCATCAATTTGTTATTCAAACTATTGATTTTATGCTTACAGTTTCTGCTTTCCTAGTTTACATATTGTCACTAATCTACAACTTTATTATTATCTTTTACATTTCTAAATCATTTTTCTTTTTGATATATATGCGATTGTGTCTACATGAATTTGTCACCTAGAAGCTGGTTTCCTTAACGTTATTAATTCATTATTTACACTTGTACTGTTTCAAGATTTACTAAGTTATTTATGCAGCAGGAGGAATATTTAAAATTCATGAGCAGAGCTGTAGGGATGAGACCAGAAGGCTGGAGTCAGCGAGAGGGGAGTGATGTTCTGGAATGTAAGAGGTGGAGGCACCTGTGGTGGGAATGGCAGTCAGAGCAGGCCTCCGTCATTTGTTTCACAGTGCTGTGGAATGTACAGGAAGTGGCCCATCAGTTTCTGGGGCTGGGGCTTGGGCTTGGGGGCTGGAAGGACAGGAGCAATTGATTCAGCAACACCAGCAAATGGCAGTTGAGGTTATAATTGCATGGGAAGTAGAGATACAGAAAGGATGCTCATTCCAAGAGCTTCTGAACCGATTTGGCACCTATAAAGCATTACATGACCACCTGTGACTATTTCCCACCTGTTTCCACAGAACTCAGAAGTGTCGGTGTTTGAGGTTAACATTCGCTTTATTGGAGGCCTGCTTGCAGCGTATTACCTCTCAGGAGAAGAGGTGAGTATCATGGAAGTGACACGGAGCAGCCCACAGCTTGCCTGGATGTCATGTAGTTGACAAAGCCGTCCTTCTGCGAGATCTGCACTGAACTGCACCACCCAACAGGGCGCGAAACTGCTGAGACCAGATTGAGATGAATGGGAGCGTTAGTGCAGGTCCTCGTGAGGCAGAACGTTCATTACCAAAATGTCTCATGTGGAAATTGAATGCAGTGTATTACTATGAATAAGTAATAGAAGATTTCAAGTTCTCCTGTCTGCAATTCTTGGTACAGGACACAGAGACCCACTTGAGACCCATACTGCTGGAAATAGGAAAATGGATGTGAGAAGTTACTGTTTTGCTACTGTACTCTGCTATGCTGCATTTTGGGAATGGGGTTGGCTAGTGGAGGAAAGACAAACGGGAAGAATTATTCTAGTTTGTTTTTTTGAGAAACTGCTTCACCCGTATTTTTGATAGGCTGCATTTGTTTTGCTTTTGTGCTGCTGGGGATTTAGTCTGGGGCCTTTCCTGCTAGTCAAGATTCTCACTGAATCACGCCCAAGGGTTTGTTGGTCTAAATGATTTGTAAGTCTTTTCTTAGATGCAAGAAAAGTTGCTTTATTTGTTTGTTTTGTTTTGGTGCTAGTACTGGGGTTGTAATCAGGCCTTGATGCTCTTTCTTGGCTTTTTTGCTCAAGACTTTACACTTGAGCCACACCTCCACTCCCAGCTTTTTTGATGGTTAATTTTAGGTAGGAGTTTCCTGCCTGCTTGTGCTGGCTTTGAACCTCAGTCCTCAGATCTTAGCCTTCTAAGCAGCTAGGATTGTAAGTGTGAGCCGCCAGTGCCTAGCTAGATCTACATTTCTGAGCTATGCAATTTTCCTTTCACTGAACAACAGCATTTTTCTCTAAGGGAAAAGATTTGCTCCCTTTTTGTTTATCTGAGAAAGTATTTCTTTTTCCACTGTTGAAGGATAATTTCACAAGGTACAGAACTCTAGATTGGTGCTTTTTTTCTTTCCTTAACATTTAAAAACACTTTCTTATTTGTATGCTATATTGGCTTGTTTTCGACTACTATAACAAAATGCTTGAAGCCTGTTTATTTAGTTTCTAGTTTCAGAAGCTGAAAGTTCAAGGTCAGTCATTTTTATCTGGCATATGGCATTAGGATTACATAGTGAGACAGGCAGTAGAAGAGGTTTGTGAGCTCATATGTTTTAGTTTGGGTGATTTGTAGAGACCTATTCTTAACTATATTGTAATTGGGAGCCAGTTCATTTTATTACTATGTATTCATTTGTTACTATGCTTTTTTTTCTTGTACTTGATTTTCTAGATTTATTGACTTTTATACTTTTCTTTGCTAAAATTTTCCTTGCTAAAATTCTTCATGAGCATCTTTGAAAAAACTATTTTTTTCAATTTTTTTGCTTATGTGGTGCTGAGGAATCGAACCCAGGGCCTAATGCATGCAAGGCAAGCGTTCTACCACTGAGCCACCATCCCAGCCCAATTTTTTTCAATTTTTGATGGTTTTAGCTTCTCTATTGTTTCTTGCTTTGTCTGAACTCAAGGCCTAGAATGAATAGATTTTTTTTGCTTTTTATGTATTTCATTACTTTTGATTGAATGATAGATATTATGTATAGGACAGTGAAAACATGTTAATAATAGTTGTGCCTAGAAATGCATGCTAGTGTTAGGGTAGGGGTCAGTGCAGTCAGGGGTTGAGATAGGTTTGTGTATTTCATAGCTAGTTTTACCTTTAGTGTATTCCTGGTTGCAGAGTCTTTTAGTGTTACCTTGTAATAGGACTGTGTCTGCTTTGCAGGAAGTTTTTCTTATTGTCTGGCTCTGTTAGGCATTTCCTGTAGGTCTGGGCCTCAGAGGAGGTCTCTTCATTCTTATCCCCCATCTCCATCCAGACTGCAGTTACCTATTTGCTGATTGTTCCTGGCTGTTGACTTTCTCCTAACTGCTAGATTGCTGCTACCTTCAGCATCCACATCCTTTCTTCCCTGGGACCACAGGGATCCTGTGTGCCTTTGCTTGGCTGGCCTTATCTGCAATGTTTTTCCGAAGCCCTTTTTAGGCCATCACCCTGCTTCCTAGGCATATCTCTGGATGGCCCTTGACCTTGGGAGCTTCTGGAATGAATTATTAAATAACAGTGAGAGGAGAACATGGAAGGATTTTATATTTTAGTGTCTTCAGTGTTAGAGTTTGTTTTTGTTTTTGCAGGTTAGAGGATATAAAATGTCCTTGAGAAAGGAGAGGAGCCACCTAGCAACAACTTCTTTGTTGTTATTGGTACTGGGGTTTGAACTCATAGCCTAGACACTTACTGTCCCTGAGTTTTTTTGATTGAGTCTAACACTCTACCACTTTGAGCCACAGCTTTACTTCCAGTTAAAAGTCTCATGGACTTTTCCTGCCCGAGCTGCCTTTGAAACTCAGGCCTGAGCTACCAGGCTCCTGGCCTACCTAAACATTTGTGCTTATGTCTCAAGTGCTAATTTTTTTGTGTATGGTTAATGGAGTTGATTGTTTTCAGAGCAATATGAATGTTATCCATAATGAATTTGGAGTAGTTTCTGCATGGGGAGCTTGAGTTATGGCTCCTTGTTGGTTGCCTGTCTAGAGGCTGAGCACATGTGAAGATTTTGCTTCTTGATGTCATGGAAAAAGCTCAGATACTGAATAAATGTGTGATGCTTCTGTTTTGCAACTCCTGAAGTCTCAGGGAAAGAAGAAACATGGGCCTCCTAATCTATCACCATGTGAGAACGTTAGAGCAGTGTGAGAACACAGGTGGAAGAGCACGCATAGTGCCTGACACAGTGCTGTCACTGTACTCTATGCCAAACGCCGGCCTTTCTCATGTGGTCAGTGCTCTGTATCTGTAAGAGGAGAGATATGGTAGTCAGCTTGACTGAAAAGGAAGGAGAATGTGTTATGACTTTCTCACACAATAGAACTTGTCCTGACCAATTTACTTTCCAGTGTGATCATTTTATATTGCACACCTTTTTTTTCTGTGAAAACTAACAATGAGGTGTCTTAAAAATAAGTGAAACAAACTGGGTGCCAATGGCTTATGCCTGTAATCCTAGCTACTCAGGAGGCTGAGATCTGAGAGGATCATGGTTTGAAGTCAGCTCAGGCAGGAAAGTCTGTGAGACTCTTTATCTCTAATAAACTACTCGAAAAAAGCTGGAAGTGGAGCTGTGGCTCAATTGATAGAGCACTCGCCTTGAGCAAAAGAAGCTCAGGGACAGTGCCCAGGCCCAGAGTTCAAGCCCCAGGACCAGCAAAAGAAAAAAAAAAGTAAAACATAGAAGAGTAATTTAAATATGACATTATTCTGATACTGAATGGACAATAGATGCTATTATCTCATTGGAACCAGAAAGTTAGCTGTAATTTAGAACATAACAGTGGAAATACGTAACTAGATTAAAGAGTGCTTTACATGCATCCTGTTCTCTGGCATATGGAAGTGAGTGAGGATTACATGCCATTCTAACAAAGTATTCCTCTTGTGTTGATTTATTAATATCATAAACTGAAGCTTTATCATTTTATTTCTCAGCATAAGGCTATTTATATTACCCCCAAGTTAAAATATCTTGATGATTTATGATGTTTACTTGGTGCTAGCTTCAAATATATGATACTTCTTCAATATAACCATTGCCTTTCTCATTTTTTAGTACTTATCAAAGTGGGCTTCCTTCCTGAATAAGATAGTGTAATTTATGTGGATAACAGCACCTAAAATGTGTCAGGTAAAATAGACAAATTATTATGTGGAGTTTAGGGCTTATTCACAGATAATAAAAACAAAATAAATAACAGCGGTATATTTTTACCAAAATGTAAATATACTCTATTGCCGATAGGTCAGGTTATTCTTGAATAAATTCAAGGATATTTTCCAAGACAAAATAGCCTGTAACCTTGAAGTCCTTTAAGTAAAAGTAAGTTACGAAAAAAAAAAGTTAAGTGCTTGAGTAGAGGCAAGGCATTGGGTTCTGTCTCCAATACCACCCCAATCTTGAAGGAAAGGAGTGAAAAAAATAAAAATAAGAAAATAAAAAAAGGAAATGTTATTTTTCCTGATTCAAATATCAGAAATTATTGTCCTCATTATATTAGTACTCACTTGAATTTTGGAAAACATGGTTTGGCTTGGGAAGTGGCTGCAAATTCCATTGAGAATTTCACATCATATCTGCAGACATGCTGGGGATTGGGCAGAATGTTGCACTGCACTCTGTTAACATAGTAGATAAACAGTTTCAGGTACATTCTCCAGCATATGTACCTATGAAGTTATGTATGCATTTGTATACATCTTGATGTGCTTGAAGTCACAGTGGTAATACTAATTCATTGTTCATGAATGTGATGGTTACTGATTTGATTAATCAGAAGACACAGTTTATAAATAGCTATAACAGGAGCTAGAAATTTTGGAGTAAGACTTAGGACAGAAGGGAGCCACCAAGAATTCTCAAATGCTTCGTGCAGCTCTGCCCCTTCCTTGGGTAAGCACTGAGCTACACCGCAGAGGGGCAGACATCACATGGTCCTAGCTCACACTGAAGAGTCTGAGTATCCAGTCAGGCGCTGCCAGCTGTGGGGAGACAGTTGAATTTTGAGTTTCAGAGCCTTATAAAAGAAAGCTCAGCATATAACCGAGTATGTAGAGAACTGGGGTCTCTGAAACACATACCCGTCACATTGACCAGAATGCAATTCAAAATTATTCAGTATATGAAAATACAAGGGAAAAATGTGACTCGTATATCTAAAAGAAATATAACTGATAACCTATCTTGAGGTGACTAGATACTGAAATTAGTTGATGAGGATTTTATAGCAGCCCAGTGGTATGTAGGAAAACATTTCTGAAAATGCGTAGGTGGAAATCTGAATAACATTGGAAAATCTAGGAATGAGAAATAAAGTATAAAGTATCCAAAGTTAAAAAAAAATTTGTTGTGTTTGCCATTTGGAAATCGCAAGAGCCACTAAACTTGAAGATAGATCAGTGTAAATTATTCATTGCGATGCAAAAGAGATTCCCAAATCTTAAAAGAAAGAACCAGAGGTTCAGAAACTTGTGGAATGATGTTGGAAAAGCCTAGCTTGTATTTAAATTTGAGTTCCAAATGGAGGAGAGCAGCTAGATGGAAAATGTAGTTGAAGAAGTAATGGTTATTATTTTTCTTTTATTGGTGATAGACCTAATTTAAAAGTGGGTTCTCAACAAGATGTGTTCTAAGCACCCCTAGGCATGTCATGATCAAACACCTGACCACCAACGAGAAAGAAAAAATTTGCAAGCATCTAGGGAAAAAAATGACAGTACTGTGTTTGGATGATTTAGAAGTATTCATTAGAAATCTTAGTTTATTTTTCTTTTTAATTTCTTTAAAAGTTATGTATTTGCTTAAAGCAAAAAATAGTATTTCACATTAGTATTATTTATAGAGAGAAAAGAGCTAGAAAAGAGAAGAGCATCTGGGAAAGGTGGGAAAGAGAGAGCTAGGAAAGAGAAGGGAGCAGGGAAAGAGAAGAGAAGGAAGAGCTGAAAAAGAGCAAGAAAAGAGCAGAGAGAGGTTTTTACTTTTTTTTTTTTTTTGCCAGTCAGGGGGCCTGAACTCTGGGCCTGAGTGCTGTCCCTCAGCTCTTCAGCTTAAGGCTAGCCCTCTACCACTGGAGGCACAGTGCCACTTCCGGCTTTTTCTGCTTATGTGCTGCTGAGGAATTGAACCCAGGACCTCGTGCATGCAAGGCAAGCGCTCTACCACTGAGCCACCTTCCCAGCCCAGGTTTTTACATTTTATAGGAAGTTGAACGATATTAATTTCAAGTAGACTGAAAAGTTAAAGATTTATAGTTGAGTTACTAGAGCAAACACTAAATGGAACAAACACAAGCATCAATAGCTCAGGAATAATAATATTAAACCAGGCCAGGTAGAAGGGAATTATCCCCCCCCCCCAAAAAAAAGAAATAACAATAGAGGTGAGAAACAAAATAAAAAGTAGAGCTGAGAGTATAGCTCAGTGGCAGATCATGTGCTAGCATGCCTGAGGCCCTGGGTTGGAACTCTGTCAGTGTGGGCATAAAATCGAGGGTTTTTTTGTTTTTGTTTTTGTCAGTCATGGGCTTGAACTTTGGGCCTGGGCACTGTTCCTCACCTCTTTAGCTCCAACCTCTTTAGCTACCACTTGAGCCACAGCTCCACTTCTGGCCTTTTCTGCTTATGTGGTGCTGAGGAATAGGACCAGGGCCTTCATACATGCCACCTTCTGAGCCACCTTCCCAGCCTCATGGTGTATTGTTTTATTTATATATATTATATCTCCCACTGCACTGTTCTGAAGCACTTCTTGTTTTCTTCTAGTAATTTCATAGTTTGGATTTCACATTTCAAGTCTTCAGTCCATTTGAAGTTGACTTTTATATAGGGTCAGAGAAAGCATTCTAATGTCATTCTTCTCTGTGTGAATATCCAGTTTTTCTGTTCTATTTATTAAAAGGTTCCTTCTTCCACAGTGTGCCCTTAGTCTCTGTTGGAAATCAGCTGGCTGTAGCTGTGTGGGTTAGCTTCTAGTCTTGCTATTCTGTTTGTCTCTGTATCTATTTTCATGCCAGTAGCATGCTGTTTCCATAACTGTGGGGTTGTGTGCTTTGAAATGAAGGAATATAATACCTCCTACGTTGTTCTTTTGCTCAAGGTATCTATGGCTGATTATTTGTTGTTGTTATTGTGATAAAAGTGTCAGTGGGGAGGGGTAACACTGCTACGAAGGAAATCACTCATTACTTATGTAACTGTAACCTTTCTGTACATTACCTTGATGATGATAATAATAATAAAGTATTCACACAGGAAGAAATTGTAAGCCACTGTGGGCCCAGACTTAGAAACTCTGGGGGGGGACGACAGGCAAGATGGGGGGGATGCTTAGAAGTAAGGATTTGATGTAGAATGGCTAGGAACCATGTGTACCATGCACTGGTGTGTCACATGTGTTTCCTGTGTATCGAAAAGCAGGTTGCCTTGTAGAAGGAGCTGTGTGGTTGAAGGAAAGACTTGGACAAGAGTCTTATTTTATACTTTGATACTTTTTGGATTTTTGGATTTGCCTGCCTGGCATACTAAAAACTAATGTGTTTTGTTTTGTTTTTTTGGGTCTGGTTGTGGGGCCTGAACTCTGGGCCTGGGCGCTGTCCCTCAGCTCTTCAGCTCAAGGCTAGCGCTCTACCGCTACTTGAACCACAGCACCACTTCCGGCTTTTTTCTTTTTGCTTATGTGGTGCTGAGGAATCGAACCCAGGGCCTCAGGCATGCAAGGCACGCGCTCTACCGCTGAGCCATCTTCCCAGCCCCAAAACTAATGTGTTTTAAATTGGCTATCAAAATGTTTCTTACACTAGGGAATGTGACTGTAATATATTTATTACTAAATTATTAATTATTTTAATTATTAATTTATTACTAAATTATTAATAAAAGTATACCCTTGATTTTTTTTCTCAGTGTATTAGGGTGTTTTCTTTTTGAACTGTTTACTATATTTGGTTACTGTTTAGTGTAACTTGTTAAAGGTAGTTGAAATTTAGACAATATATTATTGGCTAGTTCTAAATGAGAAATGAAAGTGCTTTCTATTTTAACTCATTTGAAGTGGTAGCTATTTTTTACCATTTTGAATATTAATTTTTTAATATAGAAGAGATGTGATATAGCTGGTCATAACTAATATAACTGACTAATAAGAGCTAATTTAACTCTGGTCTGAAACTTGGAGGTAGGTGCTGGTGGCTCATGCCTGTAATCCTAACTGCACAGGAGGCTGAGATCTGAGGATCATGGTTTCAAGTCAGCCTGGGCAGGAAAATTTGTCAGATTCTTATCTCCAATATGCCAATCAGAAAAAATCCAGAAGTGGCACTGTGATTCAAGTGGTATAGCGCTAGCCTTGAACTAAAGAAGTTGAGAGACAGCATCTAGGCCCCGAGTTCAAGCTCCATAACTGACACACACACAAAAAAACAAACAAACAAACTTGATCCTTCAGTCCTAATGATACTGATTATAATAGGTTGTAACTTATCTTTCCTAAGATATGAATGTTCAAAATGAGAGAACTGAGTTTACATGTGCTTTTCTAAATAGTGACCTAAATCATTGTGGGTTTTGTATTGAAGTAGATATTGAAGGCAATGTGAAATGGATTGAAGGATTGGTGAAGTGGATTTTGTCATATTTAAGGAATCTTGCAGAAGAACATCTTAACATACTCTTTTTAACAATTTTTTAAATTGTTATAAAGATGATGTACAGAGAGGGTTACGGTTACATAAGACAGGTAATGAGCACATTTCTTTTTGGACAGTGTCACCCCTCCCCTTGCCCTCTCCCAGTTTTTCCTTCTCATCTCCCACTGTCAAGTTGTAGAGTTCATTTCCAACATAGTATCTAGTGAGTACCACTCCTGCATTTGTTTACCTTTGTCTCTCCATTCTGTACCCCCTCTTACATTTCCAAAGACATCTAAAAGGGACAAACAGAACAAAAAGAAAACAAAAACAGCAAAAAAGAACAAAAACCTCGTTTCCATGCCCTGGAGTTCATTTTAACATCATATTTCTTTTTCTGCTTGTAACACAATATTTTCTGCCCCCAGCAATGTAGGAATGCTTTGCTTAATACAATCTCACCTAAAACCTGATTATATGAAAAGTAAAACTTCGTATATGAAGAATAGCAATTGTTGGCTGTTGACAAGGTAGCATCTTAAATAAGCTGTTTGGAATCTGTTTAAGAGCAGATCGGCATGAAGTGTGTAGGCTGGAGAGCACCACTTTTCTAACAGTGTTTGAACCCAGTTCTATTCTGGAGTTGGTGCTCCTGTACCTGAGTTAGTGGTCTTAGTATAAAGTATACAAACCTATTTACTGGGCTATACTAAGCAACAGTAGATTTTTAACTGTCTAGATCTTTTTGCTATTACATGCTAAGAAAATAGAAGTCTTTCTATGTACAGATAATAGTAAATGACTTTAAGTGTTTGGAAAGATTACTGATGACATGTGGGTAGTGTGTTGCTTTGAGTACTGAAAAGCCAGGGTAACATGGGAGGATGAAACATATATAACTCTTGGTGTAAACTTTGAGTGTGAACTCAAATATTTTCTTTCATTTTCTAATGCATTTAGACTTTCATGAAAAGTGTCGAGACCTGTATTTCTATTGGTTCTAGGGTGCTTATCCAAATTGTGTTCCATCTTTCTTTTGCTTTAATGTTTGAACTAAGATTGACTGTCTATCTTGTATGCAGTACTATAGCCTAGTGTTTTCTCTTAGTTTTGTTTTTGCCAGCTGAAAATACAAATAATAACGCCCACACCGCATCTTTTCTTTTCAGTTGGTCACGGTTCAGGGTGTGCATGTGGGGTACCTGTGCTTAGTGTCCAGCTTGCAGACATTTACTCTGCTTTCTATGAGATTTTCCCCCAAGCTCCTTATACCTAACTATACCTCTGTCCATAGCTATGAGTGGGAGCAATAACCAAGTGCATGCTGATGGTTATAAGTTATAATTACTTATGTGTTTTTATTTCAGATATTCAAGGTCAAAGCAGTACAATTGGCTGAGAAGCTCCTGCCTGCCTTCAATACACCTACTGGTATTCCCTGGGCAATGGTGAATCTGAAAAGGTAAACTCTTCCATGTGGTCGCTCATCAGGAAGAATTCAGTTAACTGATTTTTTTTTTTTGGACCTTTAGTCTTCCAAATGTTCTGAAAGTCTTCGTGTTTTTCAAGACTTATTTTTATTTTCTCTGCATGTGTGTGAATGGATATTGCTTTAAACTGTTTTCTGTTCTGTTTTAAAAGTATCTTCTTTACTTTGAGAGGGGTCAGGCCTCATTCCAGATGGGCCACCTGCCTTAGCCCTCATTCCAGTCATTACTCTATCTCTCTAAGCCTGGGTTTGTCTCCTTTACCTGTGTGTTTATGCACCATTTGTTTCTCTTATTCATTTCTACTTAGCATGGTTAACAGATTCATAAGTCTTCCTTTCTCTTTTTTCTTTTCATACTCTGCCTGCTTTTGTTCTCAGTCAAAGTGTGAAAAGCAATGTGCTAGAAATTAGGACTTCTATTGTTGAATGCCATCATTTTAAAAAATGATGACGGCACCATTCATGACATAGTGTAGGGTCTTTCTTAAGACTATAGTTGCGAGTGAACTCCTAAAAGTATTTGCAGTCTGTTTCATTCTGAAGGAAAACACAGATTTTTACTTGGATAAGATGTTTTTATTATATAACTGTGTAAATAATGCAGATCATGTACAAATTAAAATTTGAGTAATGTCAATATTTTAACTTGCATTTAAATTGTGTATGCTGGAATTTTTGCTGCTCATTTTTTTTCTCCAAGTCATATTTACCATTCATCATGTGGACTTCGTAAATTACATGAAAATTTGATGGATGAACTCCTTGCATTCAGACCCCTTAGAATAAAAGGAGCATCTATTTTTCTGGAGGTGTGACTTTATTTTTAAAAATAACCAATTTCATCATTTCTTGCTAATGTCGAGTGTTGAATTACCTTGAGAAGTCAGCCTTTAACAGTGAATATTAATTTTGCTATGTATAACATGTATTAGCTCATTTATGAGGGGAAGCTGGCTGGGGTTCTAGAGACACCGCCTCATAGGGGTGTGGACAGTCAATACCATATGTATATTTATTCTCTTAGTATCATGAAAGATTTTCTGATACTTTCTTCAGTAGTTTGCTAGTGTGCTATAGCTTTCTTAGTAATTAAAACCTAATTCTGATAAGGAGAAAGATTGGAGGGGCCTGCCTTTTTCTTTTACCATAAAAGAAAAAACTGAAAAACCAAGCTTATGTCACAGAACATTGTTTGATAAAAAGTTTTCAGGGACCATACCGTGACCATTTTATAAGATAATTGCCCACTTAATTTCTTAGTATACATGTATACAAATGCATTACTGGCATTTACATCATAAATGCAATTATTTGTCTCTTTGTATGTCTACTGGAGTCTATGCATTTTCCATATAGGCTTTGCCAGTAACCATCTCACATCTCTTGTCTTCTGTAACATGATGCAGTATTCAGAGACACAGCATGTATACTTGGCAGGAGCTTCCTTGTGTATCTTTAAATTTTATTTTTACTATCTTTTAAGTACTTTTACAAAGGAGTTCCTACTCAGCAACTCAGTTTATCAGTGCATCTTTATTGGTAGCACCCCTTCATTGTTCTCTCCTAGCCCAACTCCTCTCCTCAGTTTTGTCAGTTTCATAGGATTTGCTTGCTCTCCACTTCCCCCCTCTCCTTGACCTATGCCACACACCTCTCAAGTAAGTTTCCCAGTACTTACTTGGTAGGACTGTGAGTTTGTTTTTCTAGGGGATTACATTGTTTGAATTCTTTCTCTAGCAGGGCTTTTTAAATGGTTTATTTGGATGCTTCAGAGAGAGAGAGAGAGAGAGTGTGTGTGTGTGTGTGTGTGTGTGTGTTTTGGTGGTCATGAGGCTTGAACTCGGCTTGGGTGCCGTCCCTGAGCTCAAGGCAAAGGCTCTACCACTTGAGCCACAGCGCCACTTATGGTTTTCTGGTTGTTAATTGGAAATAAGAGTCTCATGGACTTAACTGCCTAGGCTGACTTTGAACTGCAATCCTCCGATCTCAGCCTCCTGAATAGCTAGGATTATAGGCGTGAGCCTCTGGTACCTGGCTTCTTCTGTGTTTTATAATTTCTCATTTAATGATACCTCATTGGACATACTTGAGATCATCCATGTGAGACCCAGCCTAGTTACATCATAATTTGTAAATTCATTTCCGAGTCAATGGCACTAGTTTCCATTATTTTTCTATCTACTGCTATGATAGCCTTCTGTTATCTGTCTTGAGGTAGTGGGGATTATTTTATCTTTCTGGAAATGGTTCTTAAGAATATGATACTAGCTGGGAGCTGGTGGCTCACGCCTGTAATCCTAGCTACTCAGGAGGCTGAGATCTGAGGATCACAGTTCAAAGCCAGCCAGGGCAGGGAAGTCCCTGAGACTCTTATCTCCAATAAACCACTCAAAAGCCGGAAGTGGTGCTGTGGCTCAAGTGGTAGAGCTTGCCTTGAGCTGAAGAGTTGAGGGACAGTGTTCAGGCCTTGAGTTCAAGCCCTACGACCAGCCAATAAAAAAGAATATGATTACCGGATCAAAGGGCATATGCTTTTCTTCTGTGGGATAGATACTCAGTTGTAAGTTTGCTATAGCAAAGGGATTTAGTAGATGCTACTGAAGTGTTTTCTGCATAGTCTGTGGAATATCACACTCTTGCCCCTGTGTGGGAGCATAGGGGTCTTTAGGTGCATGGGTGCTGTTGTTTCCCATGGACTGGTGGTTGTCACTCATCGCTGTTTTTTGCCATTGTTTGGCTTCCCCATTCCATTACTTCATGCTTTATTTGTCCTATTTCTACTTGGAGTTATCTTGTTATTTTAATCTTTCTCCATACGTAGTCACTAATTTTAGACCTCTCCTCTGCATTAATTATTACTTTCCTGATTAAATTAATGGTAATGTTGTAATTCCTAGAATAATCACACAAGCAAAAAGAAATCAGTACAGAAACTAGAATACTCAAAAAAAAAAAAAGCTCAATAATTAAGACAGAAAAGAGAACTAAAGAACTGATAGGAAAAAATTGTAATCCTAGCTACTCAGGAGGCTGAGATTTGAGGATCATGGTTCAAAGCCAGCTGGGGCAACAAAATCTGAGGCTTACGTCCAATAAACTACTCAGAAAAAGCTGGAAGTGACACTGTGGCTCAAGTGGTAGAGCACTAGTCCTGAGCACAGAGAGGCTTGGGGACAGTGGCCCAAGCCCCAGGATTGGCCAAAAAAAAAACAAAAAAAACCAACAACAAACCAATTCTAGGCTTGTCTGAAGGACAGTAGTGAAAAATTAAAACAAATATTGCCTAGAATCATCAATACAAATCTATAATTGAAGGATAACCTGAAGTTTAAAACCATATTTAGGGGTGGAGAATATAGGTCAGTGATGGAGTGTGTGTCAGATAAAACTTGAAGCTCAGGTTTAATCCTCAGGGATGGGGAAAAATAGAATATATATATCACATATACACATATATGTATACATATAGACTCACACTTGAGCATATATAATTAATTATAGAACTGACCAGTAAATATTTAAATGATGCTAAATCCTAATGGTAAGAAACTATTATAAAACGCTCATCTAGTTATGAGATTTCCCACACAGATAGGTAAAAATCTTGACAACATTTTTGGGGGTTCCTTTTGTTTCTTTTACATTTTGTCACAAAACTCAGACTCCATATTATTAAAACAACCATTATATAAAGCTGTTGTATTTATCCTTAATCAAAGAAGGAGGTTTTTTATTTGATAGAACATTACCATCTTTTGCGAATGAGGAGGAAAGACCATTTTTGCATTGTAGGTTTACATATATATAAGTTTATTCTTATCAAAAGCCATAAATTTCTTGAACAGGTAAGGAAATAGAGTTATGGGTGAAAGAAGCCATACATAAGAAATTTTGTCATAGTACATTTCATAAAAACAGAATTACAAGTACAGTTTAAACTTCCAAGGGAAAGGGGAGAAAGTTTGGTAGTCACAGATAAAATAATATGCTGCCACATAAGAGGTATCATAGGGAGATATTTCTGTTATACTAGAAATATTTATAACCAGGCTATGGCAACAAATGATAAGGATTACCCTATGTAGTCACAGATGTACAATTTGAGAATGAATGGATTTAAAGTGATTTATTTACTTAAAGTGATTATTTAAAGCATGTAACAAACTGAATTACATTTTGAGTTTACTGCAAAACATTTTTCAAAATACAAATAATTACTAAACAAGAAAGAAGAATGTCTAATACATTTATCTAAATTTGAAATGATCACCTTCACTGATAACTCCTTTTGAGAAAATATTCCTCTTATATTTGCTTAAACCAAATTCTGTTTCAATACAAGACACTTTTAGTTCTAAACTTTTTAAAAATGTGCTCATATTTTCACAAATACATCTTCTTACTTTCATTTAGAGTACCTCATATAAATAGATTTTTTTGTTGAAATAAGACGTGTGTGTGTGTGTGTGTGTGTGTGTGTGTGTGTGTTCATTTAGAGTACCTCATATAAATAGATTTTTTTTTGTTGAAATAAGACGTGTGTGTGTGTGTGTGTGTGTGTGCGCGCGTGCGCGTGTGCACGCGCGCATGCACTCTACTGCTTGAGCCATAGTGCCACTTAAGCTTTTTTGGTACTTAATTGGAGATAGGAGCCTCATGGGCTTTCCTGCCTGGGCTGGTTTCACACTGCCATCCTTAGGTCCCAGCTTCCTGAGGAGCTCGGATAAGGCTTCTGATTTTTAGGTTAGTGTAAGTTTTCTTCTGACTCAGATAACACAGCGCTGCAGGACTTGCCAGTTTTACCCCATTGGTGTCGACAGTATGAATGTGTCACTGAAATATTTCTTTGATTTAGATGATAAAAATAACATTTATTTGCTCTATAAATACATGTAATTGAAAATAGTTGTTCTGCGAGGTGATTATTTCTAAAGTCAAGATTTGCCACTTGAAATTGCACATTGTTTGAGTGCTTTAATTATTTAGTTCATTCCATTCTTCTGTTTGGATAAATTGCAGCCAACGTTTGAAATTGGACTCGTTTCGTTGAATACACTGATTAAATATTTTCAGTGGATTTTGAACAAAATATAAACCAAAATATAGATGAGTCATTATTAAAACATTTAAATACAATTATGGGATGCTCAGGCTGAGCTAGCATGGGCCTCGTGAGATGTCTGTCAAGCATTTCTTTATTCCTGTTGCTGGCAGTCAGTCAGGAGAGAAACGATGTTTGTTAATTGTGTTGTATACTGGTTGAAAATGCAGTTTCCGTGTTTTTCTGTTGAGTATGTCTGAAAACCTACATTTTAATAATGAATCATAATTTGTAGAAGAAATAGATCTAGTAGGTTTGGGGCAACTCATCAGTTTTTGTAGTTGGAAGTTTCTGTGCTCATGAGTTTTCTATAATTTGTTTAGATCTTTTGTGAATAGGTAGAGTATATGTAGATGTCAAATGTAATGTTTAGATCCTTTCTGTGACGCTGTATGTAAAATAGAAAATGAAAAGTCTTGTTTAGAATTTAGTATTTTGAAAAATGTACGAATGTGCTGTGAATGAAACATAACTTTGTGACTTTTGGCCAGAAAATGTTTGTAGGATAGAGTATTAGACTTTTATATCTGCCCACATGTTGTCCATCTGCTATATAGAAACCTAGCTGATTTTTCTCAATGACATGTTTTATTCCTAAACATGCCATAAATGTCTGTAATATTCCATCATAATTCCAATACAAACAAAAACGCAGAGATTTTTCCTTGGTCTAGAGAATTCTTGCATAATCTGGATCGTGTCTAGCTCTCTAAACTTAACCTTTACTTATCCTTACTCTGAGCTCTAACCATTCCAGCCCTGCCTTTCTCTCTAGGCCATTGTGCTTGCTGTTTCCCATACTAGGAATTCTCTTCCAAGTCTCTTCATCAGGGCCTGCTTTTCACCGCGTCTCAGCTGAAATTGTTTAACCTCAGAAACTCTTCTCTGAATATAACATCTGAAGAGTGGAGCTGGCTAGGGAGCCTTTTCACTTGCCTCCCCTCTCTTCCGCCCTCCCCGCCCCATCTGCCTCTCTTGAGTAGTGTCTCATTGTGTACCTGTGGTTGACCTGGAACTTGCTGTGTAGCACAAGCTGCCCACAAGCTCACCATTTTCCTGCCTCTGCTTCTTGGGCACTGGCATTTCAGGCATGTGCCACCACACCCAACTCTAATGTACTTTCTGTTGTTTGTTCCATACTGTATTTCCTGCTTGTTCTCTTTATAGCAGCTGTCACTTATTCTGTGGGCTTACTTGATGTGGGAGCAGACATGTTACCTGCCAGGCTTACCTGGGTCCCTCTCATAGCAGAGTAGGGACTATTTGTGAAGTGAATGATGGCCTTACATAGTTACTATGTTTTTTATTACTTCTTTGATTTTACTAGTTATAAAAATCTCTTAGTGGCATTTCCTTCCATAATTTCCAGAGGCAGTGTAAAAATAGCCGTCTACAATGAAAGAACTTTAAGTAAGGTAGTGATATATCCCAATGTAGATTTTAATACATTCTTACACAGGTCAGTAAAACAAAGAAAACTGAATTGCTATTATACAAGTAGATATATTTGAGAAGAAAATATATATTTGACTTCTTCCTAGAAGTAAGAGAACATCGCAGAGAATGGTTTAGAATTCTAGTCAGAATAGCCCATGAAGAATAAATCTGGACTTACATTTCTGAGTGGAACAACTCTTATCAGATTACCCTTTCACCAAAACAATCATAAAAGGTAGACAAAGATGTATAAAAACAAATGGTTTGAAGGGTCCGTGCAGCCAGCCAGGGCTTGTGGGGCTGTGATCTTAAAGAAGGCCGTCCCCCTAAGGCCGCTTTGAGGCAGGGTCTTCTGACACAGTGCAAGCTGGCCTCTCCTGTGTGCTAATGCTCCAGACCATGTCCTGAGGGAGAGCCCTAGCCTAAAGTCAGTCTTTGAGGGCCAGAGGAGACTACCAATTGTCAGGTCTTGAACTGCTGCAATGATTTGAGATACAACACACAGTCTCAGGTAGGAAGGAATCATGGAGGAAAAGCCCAAGCATTGATGTCATAGGTGTTGTACAACTTCATATACATTGGACAAAACACAAAGAAACCCAGCAGAAACTCGCAGAAGGAGCATAGTAGGCAATGAAAAGATTTAACAGCCCCATTGGACTAAGAGACCAGAGACTGGTGCTTGGTGAGGAAGCCAGCATCCCTGGTTTATAGCTGAGGTCACAGATCCACTGTATCCAACCTGTGCTCAGAAGAAATTAAATGTTTCTTAAAAGATAATGTCATTTAAGGGGCTGGGAAGGTAGTTCAGTGGTAGAGTGCTTACCTCACATATATGAGGCCCTAGGTTTGATTCCTCAGCACCCTATAAACAGAAAAGGCTGGAAGTGGCACTATGGCTCAAGTTGGTAGAGTGCTAGCCTTGAGCTAAAGAGCTCAGGGATAGTGTCCAGGCTTAAAGTTCAAGCCTGACCAACCAAAAAATAAGATATGTCAAGTTTTCGTTTGTGTAGTCATGTTGCACATAAAAATAGGGTAGGCTAAAAAAATGAAGTAATATTGTCCTACAGATTGTATATATATAAAAACCAAGTATCCACAAGATTACCACTGTAAGTTTTCAAAATAGAAAATAATTGCATCTGTCCCAAGGGACAATCAATAGGGGAATGATTAAATACATTATGCATATTTATAGAACGTGGTAGTCTTCACACAGGCACTACCAGAGTTGTTTGAGGTAGGGCCATTCTTTATTGTATGATGCTGTTCTGGCCATAGCAGAACATTTTCTGTCTTCAGGACTAGCACAATAACTCACGTTTTCAGACAAGTTAAAATGCTCTCACATATTGGTGTGCCTCTGGAGTGGTGTATTCTAGCTGAGAGCCTTCTCATCATGGAGGTCTGGGCAGCTCAGGAAAATGAGAATGCTGTTCGTGGTCTGATACAGAGAAAGTGCTCAAGCGCATTGCAGGGTTTCAGTGCAAGGGGCAGAGCAGTTGGCACAGTTGGCTCATGCTGTATTTTAAGGAAGTAGGAAAATAATAACATAGGGTTATTTCCATATGCACTTGGGATGCTGAGTATGTAGGGTATGAGTGAGGGTGGAGCTTGGTGGTAGAAAGTGAATGAGAATGTATGAAAGCTATTCAAATGTATGTTTTTGGTATCTTTTCTTCTTTTTTTTTTTTGAAACAAGGTTTACTGTGCAATTGTGTAGCACAGGATGGTCTTGAATTTATAATCCTTCTGCCTTAGCCTCCTGAGTGCTAGGGTTATAGACACACACACACACACGTGCACGCGCGTGCACACGCACACACGGGTTTTACAACACACACAGTGTCTTGGGTTTGGGAGCTTGAACTCAAGGTCTTGTGTGTACTCATGGCTGATGTCAAACTTTGGCCTGGCTTTTGACTAGTTATTTGGAAATAGAGTCTCAGACTTTCTGCATGGGCTTGCTTGGTGCCTCAATTCTGGAGGTCTCAGTTCCCTAAGTAGTTAGATTACAGGTGCAGCCAGCAACCAGCTATTACCTTTATTTTTATTTTTTTAATCTTTATTTTTTTTGGGTCCGGTCGTGGGGCCTGAACTCGGCCTGGGCGCTGTCCCTCAGCTCTTCAGCTCAAAGCTAGTGCTCTACCACTTGAGCCACAGCGCCACTTCCGGCTTTTTTCTTTTTGCTTATGTGGTGCTGAGGAATCGAACCCAGGGCCTCAAGCATGCAAGGCAAGCGCTCTACCACTGAGCCACCTTCCCAGCCCTAATCATTATTTTAAACATAGGTATAATTGCCTATTAAGGTATTTTATAATTTAAAATTTAAGTTTACTTAAAGTATTGTGTTTTGTATATAATACTTCTAATTATATAGTTTCTAAGATTTATATAAAATGTATATGTTTATTTTAAGTTTTGATCTTTTTCAACCTTTTTCCTTTATCTTGGCTTTCATTTAGTGGAGTAGGACGGAACTGGGGCTGGGCATCTGCTGGTAGCAGTATCCTGGCTGAATTCGGCACACTGCACATGGAGTTTGTTCACCTCAGCTACCTGACAGGGGACCTGGTTTACTTCAAAAAGGTTAGTCACCCTTCTTCTTGTGTTTCTTTGTTTCAAGAGTCCTTGAAGAGTTGCCCAAAGTCCTTCCTAGGTACACTTACCAGGATTCTGACCTTTGTTATTTCCCTACTTATAAATCATTCAAAGAAATCTCTTGGGGCTGGGAAGGTGGCTCAGTGGTAGAGCACTTGCCTTGCATGCATGAGGCCCTGGGTTCGATTCCTCAGCACCACATAAGCAAAAAGAAAAACGCCAGAAGTGGCGCTGTGGCTCAAGTGGTAGAGCGCTAGCCTTGAGCTGAAGTTCAGGCCCCACGACTGGGCCCCCCTCCCCCCCCAAAAAAAGGAACATGAATAGAATTTATACAGACCTACCAGAACAAAGGAAGGAAGGAACATAAACAATAAATAATGGCCCAAAGTACTTACTAGAAAATAGCAATTGAGAGTCTGGGTTCAGTTCTCCATAAGGAAGAAGATAAGGGGCTGGGAAGGTGGCTCAGTGCCTTGCATGCATGAGGCCCTGGGTTCGATTCTTCAGCATAAACAGAAAAAGCTGCAATTGTGCTGTGGCTCAAATGGTAGAGTGGTAGCCTTGAGCTGAAAAGCGCAAGGACAGTGCCCAGGCCCAGAGTTCAAGCCCCATGACCGACAAAAAAAAAAAAAAGAAGGTAAGCCCTCATCTCTGAAGAACAAACAATAGGAACAAAGATGCAAGTGCTCAGAGACAACTAACCACACGGAGTTCAGGTTCAAAATGTATAAGAGACTTAGACAACAAAATCTAGCAAAGGGCCGGGCGCTGGTGGCTCACGCCTGTAATCCTAGCTACTCAGGAGGCTGAGATCTGAGGATCGCAGTTCAAAGCCAGCCCGGGCAGGAGAGACCACGAGACTCCTATCTCCAATAAACCACCAGAAAACCGGAAGTGGCGCTGTAGCTCAAGTGGTAGAGCACTCGCCTTGAGCTGAAGAGCTGAGGGACAGCG